ATAGTTAAGGCAATTTTGTCTTTTGCTCCCGCTATGAATAATTAATTTTCAGTCAAGGCATATCAAAGAATTTTAAAGTCATTGCTGCCTATTCATTCTATTTCTCTACCTTAATCCACCAGTAAATCCCTCTCTTTCCGCTAACATTCTTTTCCTTATTCTCTTTACCCACTTATAGAATCACTTCTCATGAACTCAAACAGCGCCGATTGGCTCGGATTCCATTTTATCTGGGCCCGCGTCCAGGTCTCACTCTCTCGGTTTCTGTCTATTGTTTAGTGCGGCGGGCAGTTCTGCCCACTCCTGTGCGTCTGGCCGCCGCCGACAACACTCTGCTCAATGTCAAAAGACATCCTTTAGGGTTACCTCCCAAAGAAAAAGCAAAAAACGTCGATGCTAGTGACAAGAAGGTGGATCTTGAAGTACAGCAGTCTGATCTACCTGGATTGTCCCCTAGTGGTGATTCATTGTCCTATGATCTGGTCAAAGGCTCTCGCTTTGGCAGTCGCACTGTTTTCTTACATCGAAATGAATTAATCGGTGGGCTGAAGGAGATCGCACCGGTTGGTGAGTCTGGTTTTGGCTTTCAAAATCTTCCTTCTGTGATTTCTTATGCTAAATATACCACTAGACGAATTCCTATACTCAACACTTTTTGCAAATACAACCCAGAGTTTTGTAGTGGTATTTCATAAGCGTAATTATTGACTAGTATGATACCACCCCATGCATGTACAATTATAAAAATACTAAATTAAGTTAATATATTTGGCCAACAGTGCCTTTCTTTTAAAGGGAAACCTAGTTTTTCTACATAGCCCTAGTGGATTATTATTTGGCAAAGGTGTAAGAGTGACTATCATCTCAATACGACGAATAAAGGTATTAAATATGCCCTTCCTTCAATAATATAGATTACAGTGAAGTTTTGAAAGCCGCGTTTGACTCAGATAGGGCTTAAATCGAAAATTCGTTGGTAAATCTCAGGAGTAAACAAATACTATCATAGCTATAATGGTGAGTTAAGTCTATTTTCAGGGTTAATGTTAATTTGAACTACCTCTCGGGCACTGAGCAGTTTCCAAGGCGGGGACTTTTTAATATAAAAGAGTTTTCGCTTTCATGCGTACTTGGGCGCGGTTGTGAGTATCCGTTAATAAATAAGATCGCTG